GCGAGGCTCTTTTCGCAGGGCCTCTCCAAGGATTCCTCCAGCCAGCTTCTGATTTCTGGCAACCCTAGTAGGGTTTTCCGGGTCAGTGAGGTGGCCGAGGAGTGGTTGACCACTGCCACCCCAGCCTGTGAATTTCCTCAGCTAAGCTGGGATTTGAACCCATGACCCTGGCTGTCCTCTGAACCCACCCCCCTGCTCTGTTCTCTCCAGAAGCGCTGCTAAGCGGGAACCCTTGTGCTATGGAAGCCTTCGGCCCGCCCTGCGGGAGGCTGGCCTGCACGTCCTTCGAGGCGGAGTTGCTGAACACTCGAGGCATCCTCCAGGCTTGCATCGAGCTGACCTCCAGCCCACGAATCTCAGAGCTCTGGGAAGAGCGCCAGCTTCCCAAGAGTTTGCCTCCTTGAGATTAAACAAAGAATAATTAAAGTTAATGAACTTTGGACGTCAACATGGAGTCTACTGAGGGGGGAGACATTCATTAAAGCCACGGGACTCCCTCCCCCCCTCCCGAATCCCTCTGCTGCATTCTTCTCCGAAAACGCCAATTAAACATCGTAAGTCTGGAAAAATGCAGAAACGGCAGAATCCCTCTTATTACTTCAGGGACCCTCGTGCTCCATCTGACTTTCAAAAAGTTAATTCAGAGTTTTTTCCAGGAGGCCGCTGGTGGGAGTGAACCCCCCCCCATCCACCAACAGGATCCACATCGACAGGGAGGGCCAGATCAGAGGCAGGAGACGTCCCAGCTTGGTCTGCATCCCGCAGGATCCCAGGTCCTGCCCGCCCACTGGTGGTGCCACCTCCAGAGGTCTGGGAGTTGCCCAGAGTAGCTTCTGTTGCCCACCCTTGGGTGAGTCTTGAGGGCTGCAAAGGACCAGGTCACGGAACCCCAGTGACATGGAAAAGAGCCGAAGGTCTCGAACGGAGCAGAAACTCTGACATGCTGTGACATGTTTTACCCCCACAGGGTTACCCAACTGGTCCTTTATGGAGGCCCCTCCATCGACCCCCCCCCGGCAAAAGAGCTCGTTGGGGCCTTCCGCTGTGTTTTGGACAAGGCAAAGTGAGCCCTCCCGCAGATGTTCCTTGACTACACCTCCCATCTGCCACAGCCAGAAGAGCCAATGTCAGGGAACGCAGGGAGCAACACCTGGAGGGCCCTGTTGGGTCCAGACCCATATAAGGCACAAAGTCACCCCAAACTCACTTGCTCCTTTTTTAAAGGAGTGTTTTAAAAATGTTTTTTAAAAATCCCACCCAGGTGTCATGGAATTACAAAGGGCTTGAGACTATTCCCACATTTTTTTTCAGTGAAAAATTTGCAGATTTTTTTTACACACAAAAACAAGCACTTCCACCTTTTGTCCAAAAATTCCTTGCATTTTGTGTTCATAACCTTGTATAGTTCTCATCAAGTGCAGGTCTCCCAAAATTCAGAAGCAAAGCTTTGGCGAACCCTACCCCTCCTTTCTTTCGGTTTGAAAAATCTGTGCCAAAATACAACACAAAATTTCCATGCAGGATGACAAGGCATAGCCTCACAACCCTGGACAGAAGAAGAATGGGAAGAAAACAAAAGAAGACAGCTTGTAGAACACACCAAAACGGAAGCCGAGGAAGAGTCCCACGCCCTGGCGTCATGAGCTCACTCTTCCTGCAATACCGTCTTCTGCCCCTTGTGGCGCCCAAGAGCAGAAGAGAGCGAAGGGACTGGACGTTGCCACTGACCCCTCACTGGCAAGGAAGCCAGGCTTGTGTCTCCGGGGCCTCCCTCTTACGCTGGCCAGGCCAGGTTGTCTCTGTGGCCGACGGGATTGACTGGACAGGCGGCTGCCGGCGGACAGAGGCAGGGCTACGTGTCCCCGACACGCTGGCGCCGCTTCCTGGCTTTCACTCCACGCTGCAGGAGCGCTGATCCTAAGCTGTCACCTGCAATGCAGCTCTGATTTGCATACAACGTATATCTGAATACTGATCAGACGATGGAGGGGAGGAAGAGTCACTTGGAGAGAAGGGACCCACAAGTGGACAGGAAAACGATACCATCCCCTTCCCGTCAGGTTTCCTAGGAGGAGAGGCATCACCCGCTTCCTTAATTCTGTTTTTTCACATTGCAGAAGAGAGGACATCCTTATGCCATCCTTTGTCAGAATGTGTGTCTGTGTGTCTGTGTACGTGTGTGTCCACAAGCATTAAGTATCCCAGGTTTATGGGCTGCATGTTATCCTCGCCATCCGGCCGTGACGTCTGGAGATGGGCCGAAGTTCCCAAAGTTGCCAGTCCTGAAAGAGTAAGGCCGCCTTTGGCACTTAGGCTGAGAGAGAAGCGGGGGGGGGGGGAGGTTGAAATAGCCGCACACAACGAACGGTCTTGGTGTTCCTGTCTCCCCCTCCCCGCGGCCCTACCTCTGGGGCATCCCCAGGACCTGCCCTCAGTTCTCCAGCTTGGACCCTGAGGTGTCATGGACCCAAAATGGCCTTTGGAAAGAGCCCCTGAATGGAGAGGTTGGCCAACCTCCCCCCTCCACATCATCACCAGCTCACAGCTGGAAGCCTGAGACTTTCCTTGAGCTTCCTCCGGATGGTCTCCCAGCGCCGCAAAAGCAGCCTTTGGCTCCCAGCGCCTCCCAGCTCCCTTTCCCCAGGACAGCAACCCTTCCCATCTCCAGTTCTGCTGCAGAGCGAAAATAGCCACTGGAATGAAGAATAAAACAATCTCTCTCTCTCTCTCTCTCTCTCTCTCTCTCTGTGTGTGTGTGTGTGTGTGTGTGTGTGTGTGTGTGTGTGTGTGTGTGTTCCTTTTTATTATTATTGCATCCTGCAGTATCATGTAAAAGCAGATCTTCCACCTTCCAGGACTGGGCAAATTCATTTAGAGAACGAGGCTGTCGTTGTGGCTACAACTCTCTGTGGGGCTCCCTCCCTCCCTCCCTCCCTCCTTCTGCGTCAGGGAGCCTCTGCGCAAAAAGACAGCTCTCCCAATGACCGTATAAAACTTTGTTTGGAAGGCGGATTTCTTTCTTTCTTTCTTTTTTAAAAAAATCTCAGGGATGGAAGGCCTGCCTTGCCCGAGGCAGGGCAAGAGTGCAGAATGATCCCCACCCCACTCCACCCCCGGCTGGCCCAAAGGAGAGGTGGCAGCAGGAGGACCCGTAGGGCTGGGCAGGGAGAGCCGGAATTTGTGGACGCTTGCCGATGATCTCTGGCTGACGCTGTGCCATAAAGGGAACTCCCCCAGCCCTGCCATTAGGATGCAAGAGGGTGCTTTATTTACAGCCTAATTAGGGATTAAATTTTAGCGCAAGATAAACGACACACTGCCGTTAATTGTGCACCACTGGGCCAAGCAGACTCTGCCTCTGCATCTGAGTAATGGGCGATATTTTGGGCAGATCAGCTGTCTTCCTGGCAGCCCAACCGAGGAACTGCTTGGATTCCCTTGGGACCCTTCCCTGCCGGGAGGGTGCTTACCTGTTGGGCACCTTCCTGCCTTGTCGTCCGTCGGTGAAGAAGACCTGCACTGATCCTGCTCCCTGGAAAGCAGGCCCAGGGCCGAGGCATGGCTTGCTTTGGTGTGCATCAGGGGTAGACGCAGAGGGGGGGCTGTGTCTCAGGTGTGCAGCACCACGGATCCTTCTGTGGTTCTAGTGATGCTCCCTCCCTCTCTACACATGCGTCTCCCGGCCAGCCTGGCTGCAGGCCTCTGCTTCAGGGGTTTTCTGGCTTCTGATCGCCAGAGTTAGGAAAGCAGAGCCGTGGGGTTGCAAAACAGCAGTCGCAGGTTGCATTAAAATCTGGGTGCACAACAAATATGGCATCATTTCTCCATTGGCTTCACATTATTCTGCACGGGTCTAATACATGTATTTGTTCTGTATTTGACTACTATTAATCCTTATGTACCAGACATTTATTTTTAAAGAACGACTTCCTCTGACTGAGTTCTTTGCTGTGTTAGGGAAATTTCCTTTTGGAAATATCAGTGTTCTAAAGATTAGGAGGCCATCCTAGTTTGGGGACGTCATGAGAAGACCAGGCTCTCTAGAAAAGAAAATACAGAAGGATCCCTGTATCTGTGGGGAATAGGATCCCACAAGCCGAGGATGCTGAAAAATATGAATGCTGTAATAGCAAACACTGTTTTAATTGTATATATTGCATGGTCTCTGATTTCCTCTAGTGGCCAGTTCTGGTAACTTTATCTTTGGACATTATATTTCTAGGATTTTTCTTTTAATACCTTTAAATATTTTCAGAATTTGTGGATAATGATCCCACAGATGAGGGGATCCTACCATAATGCTCGGAAAGAAGGCAAAATGAAGAGAGGAATCCTGAAGATTCCATAAAAGAGTCCTTTGCCTTGAGTTGGCAAGAACTGAGCGCGTGGGACGGTTAACGAGGGAACTTTTTGGGAGGTTGGTCCTGAACTTCATATAGCTGATTCTCAGTGAGATACTCAAGGGTGAGGTGAGCCTGCCTTGTCTCCACCTTCACTTTCTCCCCAGGGTTATGAAAAGCTTCTGTCCCCCCCTCCCTTGGTATTCGCACCGCAGGTTGGAGAAATAGGTGACGATTTAGGTGGCTCCTGACTCGTCACGAGCCATCCGGAGAGCTTGCTTTCCCAGCAGTCGCAGGCCTTTGGAGGAAGTGAGTCCCAAACGGGGACCCAAATCTATGCTTAGCTTGGTCCTTTGTGATCCGGCCGTAGAGCTTCCCCTTTTTGGGTTTCTGGGCTAGAGCAATTCCCTGGCAGATGGAAGGCTGGCTTTAAGGAAGAGCGCTGCCAGCCAAGCAACCCTTTCCAGTGGGATGCAGCGCATGCCTCGGATGGCACCTTTACTCTGCCCTGGTGAATCCGGTCCCCTCTCTCAGATGCAATGTCTCCCTGAAGTTCCGCCAAGGTTTTATTAAGCTCCCGCGTCCACTAGATTATCGCCATCCCTCGCCTCCCTTTCATTTCAACAGGTAGGTCATCGTGATCTCCGTTGGCATCCTTCTCTACCACTTCCGTGTTGAACTCATGTTGATCTCCTTCCATGTGGAATAGTAAGCTTCCACCATGTCCCACATCACAGCCTTTTCTTCCTGGAGATCTCGGTCGTTGTTCCGTAAAGCCATGTACGCTTCCAAGAGGGCTATTTTGTCCCTGGCAATGGCCCTGTCCTCTTCCCAGAAGGGCTTGTCTTCCTTGCATGCCTTCCAGAAGGTCCTGTTCTTCTCTTCCAGGCTTTCTGGCTTCTCCTGCCCGGACTTGCTCTTCTCACGCAGGCCCTTGTTGGCCTCTCGGCACTCCTCGTTCCTTTGCTGGAAGACTCTGACCATCTGTAGGAAAGATGTGTTCCTTATATCAAGGGAGGCAAGTTCGTCTTCGGTCATTTTGATCTTCTCCTGAAACGCTTTCATCCTGTCCTGGAAATTGGACGTTTTTGCTAGGGAGTCTTTGATCTCTGCCATTAAAAGCTTGCTTTCTACCAGGAAGATCTGGAGCTCCTCCATGAAGACTCTGTTTTTTCTCTTTGAAGGCATGGATCTCCTCCCACGAGGCCTTGATCTTGTTGTCCTCTCGGAAGGCCTTGATCTCCATCCTCAGTTCTTTACTTTTCTCCCAGAAATCCTTGATTTCCTTCTGCATGGTTGTCTTCTCCTCTTTCAGGTTGCGGTGGACAATCTCCTTCTGCAAGGCTGAGGGGAAGAGAGTCCTCGCGCGGTGCCAGCCCTCCCATCCGTCGGAAACAAGGGGAGCGCCAACCGGGTTTTTCTCCTCTGGCGATCCTGTGTGCAGAGAAAGAGATGTGTGAATGGCCCAGAAGAAGGGGGCATATTATCTGCTAACGGAGTGAGAGGAACATCCATATTTCTCAGAGCCTGCTTCAAAGGGGCCATCATCACCATCATCTGAGGGGGGGCTGAATCCCTAGGATGAATGCATTCTCGCTGGGACCCCGGAGTCTCAGATCCAGAGGAGTGTAAGCCTTCAGAACGGCTCCCTGGAAACTGCCCTCACTCCGAACTGGCTGCAGCCTCTTGCCTTAGGCAGCAAATTGTCTTGGGCTGCCTCTGTGCAAGCACTTTGAAGTGGCAAAGTCATAGAGAACGACAACCTTCTAAAAAGGGAATGCCAGGGGCTGGACCTGCCTGGTCTAAGCATGCAAAGACATTGTCCTGCCATCACAGTACAGTTTCTGTCTTTGGGAACTGATTCTAGAGATGGAAAGCAGGTAGAGCAGAGAAGGGGGATTGCCGGCTAAGAGTGACATTGGCCACCCGTTGGCACCAGGATGAAAGGCAGCCTGCCCCCCCGAAGACCCAACGCCAACTGTGGGAGGAGATTTCTGCCCTGCTACCCAGCGTGTGAGCTTCCTTTCCTCATGTCACTATAGGAAGCCAAGAGTTCTTGATTAGAGAAAGCCTTTAGCCATACGCCATTGGGTGCCTCCTATGCCTTTCGGGTGATGTTCAGTGAGAAATGGATTTTGAAAGCCCCCAGGTGTTCTAGAGTCCCATGAAATGCAAAGATATGGACTCACTCACACATCTGCCTCCTATGATGAGGACTCCTTTGTGAAGAACACTGTTACCATGACGGCCTGTGAATGCCAAGAAAACAGACCTAGAACCTCAGTGGATCTCTGGATTCTGTCGTCAGATTGCTGCCTGCTTTTGGGGGGTGGGTCCTTTGGGACCTGGAGAAGGCAGGCAGCAGGATCCCCATTCCTACGACTGGTAAACCTCTGCTTTCACAAAGACTTTCACAAAGATAAGATGCAAAGCAAACTACCTCAAAAGGTGAGGTGGCTGCATTTAGGGGGCAGTTAAGATGCAAACTTTCACAAAGAGGCACACTTTTACAAAGTTAAGATGCAAAGCAAGCTACCTCAAAAGGTGAGGTGGCTGCATTTAGGGGGCAGACATAAGAGCATCTTGAACACAAGTAGGGGAGAGACCACGAAAGGAGCTTCCACTGAGGGTGAGCTTCAAACACCAACGACCTTCAACTTTTTCCTGGAGGCAAAACCATTCTCCTGGGAAAAAACCCAACCATAAATCATGCAACTGGGTTTGTTTTGGCACCGTGCTAGGATCATTTTAACCAGGTTCGTTTTTTGCTCTGCATTTTAAGCAAGCAGAGTAATCCATGCATCTTGGTTGGGTCTCAGCAGAGCAATCAAACGGAGAGTGCCTTTTCCTGAATTTTATGACCCAGGTCTTGGATTGAAAAATTGCATGGTGAAGGTGAATATATTAGAGAAAGCAGGATATCAGGATCCGTGCACTGAGGAAAGCAGCCTAAGAACATAAATGGTAAAAACTTGTATTACGTAGCTTTTTCCTTTAAAACTTAGAATGGATTAGGAAATGAGATAAAAGAGGCTGATGACTGAATCCACGTGAAAGGCACTACATAATACACTTGCCTGTCCATCCCAAGAATCTGGGGGAATCTAAGCTGATTAAAAGAAACCAAACTAAAGTTCTTGAAGAATGGATCCCTGGATATGTCCAGTAAGGAAGTAGCATATAAATAATGAGTAGCAGGTGAAAATGTGATGGATAATAGATTTCTAAGGGGGAAGAGATGGGAGAACAGGTCAAGGAAGAAGTCCTGTTATTTCCAGTGAGTTGACTTTCTTGCCCAAAATTCCAGCTGCAATGGGATGATGGCTCTGCAGGCAAGGATAGGCTGTGGCTGGGGCACCAGTAGCGATCCCTGGCAGGCGCCTTATGGAAGCCTCCCGGCTTCCCAGCTGCCGTGGAAGGCTTTGCAGGAGGACGGCCTGGGTTCAAGCTGGGGAAGTTCAATGAGAACATCTGGAAGGATGTCGAATGTGAGCCAAAGCTGGAGGTTGAAATGCAAACCAGCAGCTTGAACCGAGGCTGGGCAGAGGGGGTGAGCAGGGAGCGCGAGGACAGGATGGGAATTATCCAGAACCAAATGTATCTCTAATGTATTAAATTAAGATGTATCTCCATGAAGTTTGTTTAAAACTTTTATTTCATATGCCATGGAGACAGTTTAGGCAAAAACACAGCATGTTGGGGGGTGGTCGGTCGCCCGTCTTCACCAAGAGATTTGCCCATCTCTGCGAGCGAACGGCGGGTGTCCTGATAGCTTTCGGGGAACCTCTCCTCCCACCGGTCCAGCTCCTCCTTCCAAAGAGCCATCTTTTCTTTCCACGTGGCCAGTTCTTCTTCCCACAGATCCGGGTCCGCTTGAAGCACTTTCTTGATGTCCCCAAAGAGGAGCGTGGTTTTCTTCCAAAGAGTCAGGTTTCGTTCCCATAACACAGCATATCTCCCTTGGGTGCTGTTGGAAATCTCTTGGGATTTCTGCCAGAATGCCACTAGCTTTTTTCTCCTGTCCTTGTTTTGCTTTTTAAGAGCCTCAACGGCCTCTTCCAGGAGCTGTTGCTTGTAGGAAATGTCTTTGACTTCCTGGTCCACCCAGTCTCCCATCGCACCTTCAACTAAGCCCAGTGATTCTGCAAGAAACGTGGGATTTCCTCGCTATGTGGGACAGTTCAGGGCAAAACTGTTCTCCTGGCTAAGATCTGCTGGCAGAAGGATTGAAAAAAAAAAGAACAAAAAAGGGGAGGGAGAAAGTATAGGGTGAGGAAAATGCAAGGTTACATTAAAGCCAAAACTTCTCCCAGTCCAGAGACATGTTGACTACAGAGGTATGAAATCAGAGCAATATAAGGGTAATCTTGAGCATTTTCCAACCTCCCTCGGCTAGGGCAAATTCATTTCAACAGTTGCAGGTGTCCTGGCATTAATTTGGGTGGCTTGGTAAGATTCCATTCTGCATCAAGCAAACGGGGAACCATGACACCAGAGCAGCTGAGCTGCAAAATCAGGAAGCCTGCTGACATTTTAGTTAGGAATTCTGCAGATATTATAAAGATTGGCTCAACCCAGTGTAAAAAGGGGTTAAATCCTGCATTAGCCTAATAAGAGAACACTTGTTGGAACCAGCAGGATGTGTGCTAGGCAGCTTGCTCAAGTCCCTTTGACTTCAATGGATCTACAATGGTAAGGTTAAGGTTGGATTTATGCTGATGTATCATTCTGAAGCACCATGAAAACTAGGAGTGTCAAGGTTTGCTTTCTTTTTTAATTTACATGTTTTCTCCTCAGAGAAAGAGATAATTCATACAAGAAACAGCTCAAGTGGCCAAACTTTTCTTGCTCTGTAGCTCTTAACAGCAAGGAGGTAAATCATAGAGATAAATATTCACTTCTCCCTTCCTCCCTCCCTCCTTCCCTCTCTGTAAAAAAAACTTCCTTGGAGATGAGATTTTTTGGGCTGCATTTTCCAGAATTCTTCAGTCAGCATAGCCAGGCCAAATATAAAATAAAATAAAAATCTCCAGCTTGTGGCAAGGTCACCCAACACCAACCGAGGCAGACCCCGTCCATTTGCCATGAGAGAGTCTCCAGGACAGTCTGACCACGACACCATCTTCTGTGGGGCAGATCGGCTGTCGTTTCTTTGTACCTTGAGTTGCCCTTGACTTCTGGGGACGAAAGCCAGAGGAACCGGGAAGGCCTCCAACGTGTGGACTGGATGAATCGACTCTCTTGCATCCCGTTTCTTTGGGGGCAAGGTTGATGTCAGCTGTGGGCGACTGTTGTGTCATCTTGTCCTGAGGGGAGGTGGGTCACCAGAGTGACGACTCCCGTTGTGCAAGACCAGATGGATCACACCCAAGGAGTCCAGGGACCAAGCTTGTTACAAGGATGTTGGTCTGAAGAACCAAGCAGACCGGTGATGGGGGAAAAGAAGGACCCTAAACAGCTGAGTGAGGACTGGGAGAGGCCATCCTGCATCACGGTGGGATATGGGCTGAATATTAGAGAATGGGGCCAATGGCTAGCCAGCTGGCTAGCACCCTGAGCAGTCCTGTTCAGCCCTGTGTAGCAACCTCTTATTTACATCCGCTGAATCTTTAGGGATCTCTGCTTCCCATTCCTACAAAAAGCATCCTTTTGTCTGTCCTGCATCTCCTGGAGAGGTTTTTCCCTTGGCCAACGGGCCGAGGGCTGACCCCTTGGGAAGCAGCCTTTCTGTTTCCTTTTAGGGATCTCTGCTTCCCGTTCCTACAAAAAGCATCCTTTTGTCTGTCTTGCATCTCCTGGAGACCCCTTGGGAAGCAGCCTTTCTGTTTCCCGTAGGCTCCTTCCTTTGCTGGGACGGTTCGCCTCCTGGCGTGGATTCCGAGAAGCTGCCAGGGAGGCTTCGCCACCAAGCGCAGGCGACATGATTCGCCTCTCTTCCTGCGGAGGTTGTGCCAATGTTTTCCCTGCCACTCGCTGGTCTGACCTTTCAGCAAACCTTTGGGTATGGTGTTAACATATTTATCCAAGCGACCCCACTTGGGTGACATTTAGCGCTTGCTGGTATCCGACGGATGCTCAACATTTAGCTCAAAAGCCTGCCTTGATGCGTCGCGACATCCTACCCTATAGTCAACGAGAGGCTGTCACCGGGGGCGGGG